ACTACTCTACTCCAGTGTAGCAACGAAAATTGCCGCCACATTCGAGTTTCGAACCCGCGTCTATAGTCCCGATCAACAACTTGTAAGACTTCGGGCCCCATAGCTCAATGGTTAAGGCGTTTGCCTCCGACCGGAGAGACGCGGGTTCGAAACTCGAGTGTGGCGGCAATTTCCGCTGCTACACTGGAGTAGGGTATCTCCACCTGATGACGCCTAATGAGGCCGAAAAGGCCTACGCAGAAGTCTTTGCCTACCGGTAAAATGCCCTTAAAAAGTGTATCTTTCGATTTAAAAAAGTTTCAAAATTGTTAAAAAGTATAAAATTTAAGGACTTCATTCGCTACCAAACGAGTACAAAAAATAATAATTTTGTGAACGTTTTCTACAAAATGTATTTGAATTTATAAGAGCAGTGAAAACCAATGTTTTAAATGCATATTACTAAGGTTGTCATTTTTTACCGAATAAGCTTTTGTAAGCGGTCAGAAAGAAGCTCGTTTAAAAACCGGCATCTTGACGTGACTGAAATGAATCTATTCCACATGGACCCTTAACTTTCTCCTTTGAATTATCGTCGCTCTCGGCGGATACTTACGTTTTCACAATCTTGCCGGCGGATTCTGCAATCAAAGGGGAGTATCATCACTTCTGTGATGATCCTCGTGACATCTGCGATGCCCTCCCCCAAGAGCAACAGTTTTTCTCCTAAAAAATCCCAAGGCGTTTTTTCACTGTATGTTCTTTTTTTTGTTCCACCTCGTTGACTCATGTCACTTTGCCTCGCCAATAAGCTGAGCTGCTATTTTTTGGTATCACAATATGCATGTGCAAATAGGGCGTTCAAAAGTATACAGCTACATTTCCCTCAAGTATGCGGATACTGACTTGAGATTAAACTGCACGATAATTACTATTACAATCCTACTTGATGCCGGTTTGAGAGAAATTATCTATTCTTCACCAATTTCGGCAAACGCGACAAACAATGTACTTTGAAGCATGCTGCTTCCGGAGAGAACTTGAAGATGGTTATAGCTGTAAGATTTAATTGTACCATAAATTTCGGGAGAGCCCCTCAGTTAAAACCCCTCATTGCATTAAGGTCCACGAATGAGAAAAACACGA